AGAGGGTTTGCAGTTATTGGCAGGGGGTGGGGCTGGGGCTTCGGGGTGGGGGCGGGGCCAAAGTGGAGGGCGGAGCTTCGGCATGGGGGCGGGGTCGAAGTGGAGGGTGGGGCTCATGGAGAGCTTAGACTGTGTCTAAGGGGGGCTAGGCTTTATGGGGGGGCGTGGTATGGCTGCTATGTAGGGGGTGTGGCCTGTTGTGGGCGTGGCCATCGCTAACCCCGCCCCTTTCAGGTCCTTCACTTCCCCGAGGCAGAACCCGGATCCACCCCCCCCCGGCCGTGCCTTCAGCTGCGCTTTGGCCCCACCCCCCCGGACCAGGTGGGTTCAATACTGAGTGGGCGTGGCCTCCTGAAGCTCCTCCCCCTCTCTGACCACTCCCCTTTCTCAGGGCCACGCCCCCGGGGCGGAGCTGAGCCTGGAGCTGCGGGCGCTGAGCTCCGAGTTGGACCTGGGGCTGCTGGAGCGCCTCGGCCCCGCCCTCACCCGGCTGCGAGGCCACGCCCACCGCCACGCCACGCCCACCAATCAGGTGACGGGGTAGGGGCAGCTGGGGGCGGGGCTTCCGACAATACCGCTCGCTGATTGGAGGAGCTTGGGGGGGGGGTGTAGTTTTGGGTGCAGGGAGCACATCGAGTGGGCGGGGCTTGTGTGGGGGCGGGGCTTGGAGTGTGGGCGGCGCTTGGGATGAGTGTGACATCGGTGGTGGGCGGGGCCTGAGCACTGTGGGCGGGGCCTGCATTGGTGGGCGGGGCCTGCACTTAATTGGCAATGGTTAACGTGGTGGGAGGAGCCAAGAATGATTGACATGTAGCTGCCGTTAATGAGAAGGTGGTTAATTAAATAGGTAAGGCTTGTGTGCCCGATTGGGGTGACGGTGAGGCTTGTGCGTGGAAGTGGGCGGGGCTTAAGCTTTTTGGGCGGGGCCTAAATGTGCTTGGGCCCAATGGGGGCGGAGTCAGGACAGGTGGGCGTGGCCTGAGCTGCCTGTAACTACAATGGAGGGGTGTCTGGCCAATGGGAGCTCAGCCTGACCCTAGTGGGCGGAGGGAGCCAATGGGTGAGTATTGTGCTGAGTGTGGGCGGGGCTTAGCCTTAGTGGGCATGGTTAGTGCATAGTGGGTGTGGTCAGAGCGAGGGTGGGCGTGGCCTGTCCATAGCAGGCGTGGTCAGAGGGGGGGTGGGCGTGGCTTGCGTAGTGGGCGTGGCCAGAGCGGGGTGGGCGTGGTCAGAATGGAGTGGGCGTGGCTTGTACATGGTGGGCGTGGTCTTGGCCAGGTGGGCTGGGCTTACCGCCATTTGGGGGCTGTCCTTGACTTGGCCCCGCCCCCTCCGCAGGCCCCGCCCCTGCACTTCCGGTGGGCGGTTCCGGGGGCGGAGCTTTGCCTTTGGTTACCCCAGTTGGATTTGCGGCCCCCCCCCGCCCGAAGGCCGTGGTACCGACCTGCAATGAGGGCCGAGAGGCTGAGGATGCACATGGGGGGGGTCCGGGGGGCTGCTGGCCCAGGGGGGGGGCGGCTGCAGTGTGAGACCCTGAGCGGTGAGAATTGA